TTTCTTGTAAGGATGCTRAATTTGACAGGGCTTTTTAGGAAAATGCATTTTTTTACTAAAGAGGTGCTGGTAGAGGACTTCACAATGATTAAATACATTAAGGACTCACTTTTTGATCAGCAGTGTGAGCTTTCCACTGCTTGGACCCGTGCTATTGGGAATCTTTTTCATCACAAGCAACAGAAGAAAGACAGGGATTTTTAGTTTTAGGGTTTACAGTTCTTTTTGTGTATGTGGAGTATATTGGTGTTTGTTTAAAATTAAATATTTTAATATATCTGTGCAAATAAAGGGATAATTTTCTGTTGAAAAGCAGACAAAAAAACCCCTTTAAATGTAGTGAATCATATAGTCAAGCAAAGTAACTAAGGCTTCAGATATGCTCTAAATTCCATGGGCACAGGAGCTGATCTGTTCTGCTCCCCATGCAAGGAGACTATCCAGCCACACCATCCATAGTTGCAGATTCTCTATAGCTGGTAAGTTCAATACTTACWGTGARGGTGGTGTGACACTGRCACAGGTTGCCCAGAGAAGCTGTGGATATCCCATCCCTGGAAGTGYTGAAGACCAGGYTGGATGCAGCTCTGATCTAGTGGAAGGTGTCCCTGCCCATAGAAGGGGGGTTGGAACTGGATCATCTTTTAAGTCMCTTCCAACTCAAACCATTCTAYGATACTAACAGAATGAAAGARGGGACAAGCACACYATTTATTAAAAATTTAATTCTAGCAGCTTTCCATTGTCTGCTGCGCTGCCTGACTTGCCTCAGCTCCAGCTGAATGCTCAAACTGAAGAAATCAGGTAGATTCTGCTCTTGGCAATCTTAAAATAAGTAAGTACGTTGCTTACCCCTTCAAGGATGCATGACACTGGCTCCAGCATGGCTGTCACWGCTTTCCAAGACAGATTCCACAAGRCCARCCTGAGCCCAGGTGAYAAACTRAGCCAGGTTATCAGCACTGCCACAGAACTCCCTGCAAGCTGCTTGAATTTTATCTGTTCTCAGCATCCTCCCAGGGGCTGGTACAYCCCAGCAGCTTCCTGGAGCACGACTGCTCCCAGAATAGGTCCTCTGAGAGCGCACAACCAACACTGCCGCTCTGCTTAAAAAAGAAGAGTCTTGCTCTGATGGAGATCCCAGCTGACCACTTGGACAGGTGTTTGGGTTGCACAGCTCAGTAGAGTTTCCCCAGCTGGAGAGCAGGAACACACTGGGCTGTCTGCAAGCGAGGTTCAGCACCTTCTGCTCCATCAGACCCATTGCCCAAGAGCTGCTCTTATTTAAATCAGTTTTTGTAGGACTCCAGTGTGTGCCTTTGCATGTCAAGTAAACTCAGCCTTTTYTTAAAACCACTTCCAGGGCTGAGCAGATAACTTCAGAATTCCATGAAAACTATGAGGTATGTTTCCATACCTTTTACAACTAAGTTTAGAATGATGGATCTCTTTGTCTTGCTGGCTCCCTTCAAGGATTAATTACACAGTAACCTGCACCCCTAATTAGGATGTTTGGGCATTTTTGAGCATATGAACATGAGCTGGAAGAGATTTAATTCTGCTAAAAGTCATGCAGCCCAGATTGYGGCAAACCATCACTGGACAGCTTTMGGTCTACTAAAGAGAAATAAAGGATAGCTGAGGGAAATTAAATTTCATGATACCTGTTCCTTGAGGTAATTGCAAGCATGATATTCTACTTTGCCTTAAATAAACCCAAGGGATGAATAGTTACTATGGAACAGCAAACTGCACAACTGTAAACACTGTTTACAGGAACATAATTTTTCAGTGAGTAAAGTCTTCATGTTTGAAAGGATCTAGGACATGGCTGGTACTCTTGATCTCTCTCATGACCTTCTTGCAGTCCAGCTATCACTGTGCCTTTTTATCTTTTCCCAAAAATCCAAAGTTTTCAAAGCATAACAGGAAGCCCACCCTGTGGCCCATGGTATGTGAAGAGATGAAGCAGGTATCCTCCAAGTCTGAACTTAATGTCTATTGGTTTGGTTTCTGCAGCCAGAGGACACTGCAGTCTTACCCATCTGTTCTGGCTTTTTTTTAGTCCTACACTTCTATGTATGAAATCTTGAAAAAATTAAGAGATTTAGCTGCCACTTTTAACTTATGCCAAAGCAATGTAGGTAGGTCTGCTGAAAATAACTATCCATGAMTCACTGAAAGTAATTGTGGCTGCTATGACTGCAGAATTGTCATCCTACATAATCTCTCAAAGACAAACTTCAATTAACAGTGAATGAAGCCGATTTTGGGAACTAGACAGCAAAGAGGCTACAAGGGTTAGCGTATCAGTGAAGCACAGTAATTGTTTCACTGTGCTTATTATCTAGTGCCTAAAGAAAGTGAGAACAGTCAGCTGTTAAACAAGCAGTGATAAGCTGTCAGAGCAATTTTCTGCACTAGAGAAGATACAATTCTCTACAATACTGCTCCTGAAGGAAAGGGGAATTTCAGCCAGCTATATGTCTCATGCCTAAACAGCCCAGGGGCAAAGGGGAGGTGCTTTGGCTTTACACAGTGTCAGAAAAATGAGGTTCCTACCCAAACTCTTCACTGTCACATACCACAGGCTGCTCCACGTCTTTGTTCTGCACAGGTGGAAGATAGTCTGTACCTGCTGCTTAACTCAGGCTACAATACAATTACTTGTGGTTTGATTTTATCAATGTACGTAAGTATTCACAAGTGGGTATGAAGAGGATGGATCCGGGCTCTTGTCAGAGGTGCCAACCAATAGGACAAGAGGCAATGGGCAGAAACCAATACACAGGAAATTCCACCAGAACATGAGGAGGAACTTTACTGTGCAGGGGACCAAGCACTGGAACAGGTTGCCCAGAGAGGTTGTGGAGTCTCCCTCCCTGGGGATATTCAAGAACCATCTGGATACCAAYCCTGTGCCATGTGCTCTGGGATGACCCTGCTTCAGCAGGGTCCACAGTGGGTTGTCTGGTGGGTTGTCTGAAGCAGGGTCGTTGGACCAGACAACCCACTGTGGACCCTTCCAACCTGACCTGTTCTATGATTCTGTGATTTCCTGAAATCCATGTGATGAGCTGTGGCCCAGTGGGGAGACTGGCATTCCTCAGGCCARGTTATTGTTGATTACTGGGAATTGATGCTACTCCACAGCCAGGGCTGGGTCTCAGTCTGCCTGCACAGAAACACCTGGAGAACRTGCAACCACTCGGTACCCTGTCTTCATTCACAGTCCCATCTCTTGCAGCTCCAGCCCTCACACACACCCTCTCTATACACACAAGCCTTGCTCATCTCCTTTCTCTTTCCAACCTTTCCCATTCCCTGATCTGCCTGATTAAGAAAACTGCCTCTTGCCATGCTGACACCATCCTTCCCTTCACTGCAGCTGGCACCTCCTCAGCTCTTTTTGCTTCATTACTTCATGCCAGTCTGCTGTGGCAAATGACATGCACCTGCACCACAAGTTGWGTCCAAACTTCATTGCTAGGCTTGACTGCTCACATCCTGGTTCTAACGATCCCAAACAGGCATTTAGCAGCTGAGGAGCCAAGAAGTATTAAACCCTGCTTCACCAGCACTGAGCCCTGTGTACCAGCACCGTGTATCCCCACAGAACATGGTGTAGTCACACTGCAGTATACAGCTCCTTTCTCAGCTGGGGTTCTTCTTCACACGCTATCCCAGAAGCAGCTCTGATAGCACACAGGCAATCTGTGATTTGTAGATACTTGAAAAGGAACACCAATAAATAGAAGTGAAGAAACTGAAAATCACAGGATATCCGGAGTTGGAAAGGGCCTTGAGGATTATCAAAGTCCAGCTCAGGGCCCTGMCAAGGACAGCCCYAAGAATCRCACCATGTRCCTGAGAGCATTGTCCAAATGCTTCCTGAACTCTGGCAGGCTTMCACCTACAGGTGAAAACCCTTGTCCCATACCAGGAAAGCAAATGCAAGTGAAGGTTCTGACTCCAGAATCCAACCATAGTCGTGACAAGTAAGCAGATTCGATACAGAAAAGGCCCAGTGTGTGAAACCCTTGCCAAGCTTGCCAATTTCTTCTGGTAAAATGCAAAGATAATTACGAATAAGAGTTACATTCTAAACTGAGATTGTGTTAATGTTAACACAATGTAAATGATGTAAAAATATGAACATTTATGAGGTATGAATACCGCCTCTCTTCCAGCCGAAGACTGACARAGATGTGGGCTTTAGGCCCACACAATTTTTCACAATCTTCTGTCCAAAAGCAGCAAAGACTTTGCACAGTTAGTCCTCAGTCCTGCTGCTACCCAGCAGAGGCAATTTCTTACGGAACTTGAATGAGAAAAAGACAACTTAAGGTGCTAAGACAGACCAGAAATGAACACCCTGTGGCAGTCCTTTCTGAAATATKTGCCATTTGTAGAGGCAAGATCCAGGAACCTCTTATCTTCTTACAGRACAGCACAGTGATGCCTTTGGAAGRATGCAGAAGYAGAATCTTTYTCAGGTTTCTTGAAGAGAGAGCAGACTATGATGAAAATGTGCCCACCTCAAAACTTAAGCAACCTAGAAAATTCTGCCTGCAATGACTGTCCTTCTCTTAAATGGTCTTCTGCAAGAACTATTGGTGCAATAAGCGCTGTAAAAAAWGTTCTGGTTTTATACTATGAGACATGAAATAGGAAACATGACCTTGCATTAACCTGAAGAAACATTYGTACTTTTAAACCTATTTTTCTCTATTTTTCTGTCTCTGGGGAAATAAGGTAGTCTTGTAAACACTTTTAYTGTCATCTAGATCGTAAGTCTGATAACCACCTACACCTGATGGTTCTGCTCTCTTACACATATGCTCTGGTTAACTATAAATACACCTGAATTTAGAGGTAGGATTAAAAAATAATCATCATTATTAACTATTTATGAGATCCTGGAAACAGCAGTCAAAATTAAATGCTGAAACAGAAAACAAACAAAAAAAAAATCACAGATGTTACACCTCAAAAAAGTTCGATTCAGTAGAAGTTTATACTTTTGTTTTCTTCCATTAGAGTTAAAAAAAACAATTAACAATTGTTTAAGTGCACAATTTTAAAAACAGTGGTTTATGATTGACATGTTTTCAGTCCATTTTCTAAATCRCTTTAACAAAATCAAACACAATTCCTACAGTTACAGCAATTCAACAATCATATGAAAATATTTATAGTGCAATGTTCTAAGTTATGCTCTCAATTCCACAAAATGGCCCTCTTTGACCACATAATTGATTTATGTGCCATTTGTGAACCACGTTGTATTCAGATGCACACCTGTTTCAGGATTCCAGCCACATTCTTTTAAGGGGCTTTACAGGAGTAACTCAGGGGTTTATATCTATGGCCTCTCCCTAACAGGAATGCAGAYGGCAGTTTCTCATTGCAAAGACAGTCCCATTTCCAAATTAGMCCAATCAACAGCAGCCTAATGAAAGGCAACAGGATCTATAGCACACAATTTGAGTTACGGAAATGCTGATGTGCTGTTAAAACAATAGTGGAAAAAATACGTTTGGCTAGAAGCAAAAAAATCAGCTCTTGTTCCTTCCGCTTCTTTGACTTAATGAAGAGACATACACTTAATTAATTGCTTTGGCAGGCCAGCAGGCTGCCTGTGCGTAATAATACCATTAGGAATTCCACAAGCTTTCAGCTTCTAACACTAAGAACCTTCAACATATGCTTTTAAAAAATGAGCCTCAGAATTCTTTTTCTTTTCAAAAGCTGCTTTTTTCTCTCACTTCTCCCCACTAGCTGCTGCATCAGGCATAACACATGAATATACAACATGCACTTCAAACTGGGCACTTGTCTGTCTAGGAAAACTTCACATTTACAGAGTACCCTGTTAACAAAATGGTATTCAGAGGAACTCTGAGTTTAAAAAAAAAATCAAAAACAACCACCCCTACATGATTGCTTCAAGCTTGCCACATACATCCACCTGCACTTCCTCAAAGCTCAACGGCTCTTTGTTTTACAGATTTGAGTTACAAACATGCCTCAAAACTCCACTTTCATACTTAAAAGAGAAAATTAACAATCTAAACATCAGATTGGATCATATTAGTCCTTCTTCACACTTAGATTCCTCTTTTAATCTAGGGTAACAATCTTTCCAAATTTAGTAATCCATACAAAAAGAAAAAACAGACAAGTATTCRAAAGATAGCTGGCTTTTGTCCTGTAGGCCACGTTTTAAAAAAACAAATCACATTGAAAGAAAAGATAATACTGCCATAATTTAGCTACTTCTCTCTCTCATTAGTTTTATGCAGTAGAAAATATAATTATCAGGTTCCTACAAATGGCTGACAATTTGGTTAGATTGGAGGAGGACTGGGGGACAGACAGAGATCTAAATGGAGAACCAGTAAGGRTATTAACATGCTCAACTGCAGCTTCCCAAACATCTGCTTAGCAGCCTGACTTTCTACAGAAAGGGATTCACTGAGCCAGAGAGGAGCTGTGCATGAACACAGAGCCCTAAAATATTGGCCTGGACACCAGCTTGGAATGGGCAGGCTCATCATCAGATCACTCCCTATGGCTTTTCTTCCCCTCCAATGTGTGTGAAGTCTCTGACACAGTGAACACCCAGTTCTTTTAGTCAAAATGGAAATTCTTCTGCTATGTTAGCAAATGGATCACTACTCTACAGCCTCAGTGTTATGCTTCACAGGAGAAAAATTCAAAGGTTCAAACTGTCAAGCAGAGGTCACAAACTAAACCAAACCACAGCCATCTACATCATTACCTAGCACCCCCACCTCTAAACCAGACTATCATTTAGTCAGCTCACAATCCTCCTTCTGATACTGCTCCAGTCTCAAGAGAATCTTCAGGAAACAACTGCAAGGTAACAAACACTGCAAAAAAATACCTCCAGACACAGGGCAAGATGACTGGGACTAAAGGAGGGTGGAATCCAACAAGGATTAAGACCAAAGCAGGGTGGCAGAGTCCTGCCATCTGCACTCCATGATCACTTGTAAAGGCAGCTGTGTGACCAACACACATTGTGCTTGGCATGACTGTTTCTGCAGTTTTTTATAGGCACTGAATGTATCTAACACATGATACAAACTCTTGTACATAAATTTGGATTCCAATATTATGGTTGCAATGAAATTTTAGGAGGTGTGATGCTCACAGTAGTGCTGTTAAGTCTGTCTTGAATTAGTTTCTTCTACCACACCCTCCAGAAAAACTAAAGATGTGGTTACTACAGGTATGCCAGTAGATTACATGAACTCAAATTATTGACTTCACAGCCTCCTGCACCTTAAAAAATATTGCAAGGAAGAAGAAAAAATTATGCTAGTGACTGTATACATGGAAAAACAATCTGCATATAAAGTGAAAAATCTTCTGATCAAAGTCTCTTTCATTCCCAGATGATCTTGTACACAGGGTCTCCAACTTGAATTGTTCCAGTTTTGTCAACAGCAAAGTATTTCCCAAAGAGAGGGCTTGTTTTGTATATGTGTTTCTCAGATGGGTCACACAAGCGGTAACTGCAGAGAGAAAGCCCTTCTTTAGAATCAGTGGTAGCAAAGCCAAACATCAAAATATCAGTGATGAAAGAGAGGACATGCAAATAATGATGCCTTGTTTTGGTCATTATACTAGGCTAAAAACTAAATCAATATTGTAATTAAGAGAACCAAGCAGTTCAAATAGAGGGGAAAAAAGCCTGACTGTATCCAGACATTCTTGTTTAATATATATACAAAAATCTTGATAAAAAGAAAAGTCAAGGGAGCAAAGTCAGACCTTTAGATACCTTAAATACCTATTACTCCAAGCTTCACTGTGGCAGATATGAACGAGACAAAGAATGGGAAGTTTGCAAGAAAGAACTTCCTGAATTTTGTTACCATATAGAATTGCAAGAAGTAGACTGGAAGCCAATAYACACAGACCTTTACACTGCATCATTATGTCCCACACTACTTCAAAGCACTTTTAAAACACTAGTCTAACATCTGCTGGGGTGTAACATAAATCCTCTCTCACAGTCTAAGAAACAGTAGYATTTTTATAACCTTTTCAACGTTTCCAAGGGCTCCTTCCTGTCGATGACCCCGGTGTCTGGATTAACGGTTGTTAAAATACACCTGCAAGGACAGAAAGTGCCARATCAGTCAGGGCTTCTTATCATAAACTTTTTTTGTTTCAATATAAAATAAAGGTCTCCAGTGTTTACCTGCCACAACACACAGTCCCTTTCATCTCCACATCACCAATAAGAATATCCTCCCAGGTGTCCTGAGGCAAGCAGACATTAGGCACAGATTAGATACATCCACATGCAATTACTTTTCCAGGAGTGGCACAGTCATTCATAAAAAGCTGCACCATTCCACATGGTCGTCTTTACTTGTACCTTCAAAATATGCACAGTTACATAACAGTCCCATTTTAACAAAATTTGACTGCATTTATCCAATTCACACTAACAATTATATATGAAAAGGAAGATATACAAGTAATAAATCCTGTTCTGCAACATTCACTTGTCTGGAGCACTGAACCTGAAGCAATTTATTCATCCTGTGTGGGTGATAATCTGACCTGTGACCTCTGGTAAGTCCCCATTTTTGTAGAAAGGGAATTTTTAGTGGGAATAAGTTTTTGCTTCTCATCTATACAAGCTTTCTATTGCAAACCCTCTTGGGAGATAAAAATCTAATCCCACTTTAAGAACTTCATATATTTGAGAAATTACCTGAATCTATCCAAAGGAAATTCTTTGGAAAAACTGCAACGTGGCATAAAACCACATAAGCACTGCTATTACCAGTTCACCCCATCACCTGATCCCTTCCTAGACAGTGTTTTTTTGAACTACCAGAACATTGTCAAAGATACAGTAATGGACTGCAGTATTGCAAGGGACAGTTTTACTCTTGTGCCAAAGCCTATGAAACACAACACTGCGTGTTGACAAATAGTTCATCTGTATCATTAATTAATTAATTACAGCATGTACAGCTATCCCTACTCTACACTAAAGGATGCACTTTGAGTTTCAAATCTGTAATTTAAACATTCACATTTATACACATGAATAAGCATTCACAGACACCTGTCCTCCATCAATGTTTCATGTGCACTGTTGTCAGCAGAAGCTGTATGTCTCTGKAATGCAGTACTAAAAATCAAAGAACAGCAGATTTCCTCATCCTTGTAGGCATCATCACATAAGAAAACCAAGTTACCAAGAAACTTCTAACACTTCTAACCAAGGCCTCAAAAAAGACATTTGAGACAGTTAGTTTACCTCCTCAAAAGCACTGCAGTCTGTCACAAAAATATTTGGCCTGAAGTTCTGTATCTTAGCTTTCTTTTCCAGCCTGGTATTTAAATCATCCATTGAAGCTTCAGAGATGATCAACACTGGGCTGCAGTCAGGATAGGCAACCTACAGAAACAAACACAAACAAATCCTGAGGTKGCTGTAAGAGCATGGCAGGAAAGTTACTGCATGGAAAAACACAGGTTTTGGAAACAGTGGCCTGTTAGGCCGCTCCATTCAGGTTTTGATTTTCCTTAAAGTAGGTTACCAAGGAAAACAACATACTCTTTCCTGTTTCAGTAACCATGGCAATTTTTGTTTGTTCAAAATGCCTCCTCTCAACACCAGAGGGAGTTCCACATCCAGTACAGCCCATACTCAATTACAACTGCCCATTTATCAGTCAGGGATGCCTGGGCAGTGGAAGGACCATATTAGCAAACAAGGCCAATGAATGGTATTTAAAAGCATCTAAATCTCCTAAAAGTGAAGCTCCACATGGGTATTGAAAAAAAGAAAAAAAAAGGGGGGGCGGGGAGAGAAGAGGGAAAAAAAGACATTTTGGCAAGAATTTTTTTGTACAGCCCTCCTGTCTCTCTTCTATTATTCCTTCTCCATTCTTCTATATACTTTTCAACACAAGATGATAAGTGTTGAAATAACTATCAAAAAAATTCTCCCTTTTTTTCTTGCTAGGATTCTTGAGTGTTGCCCCTTCTCATCTCCTTTTTGCTGAAACACTGTGTTTGTATTGTTCTCAGTGCCCTTACATAACAAATGCATATCTATAAGTCTATAATTGAATATACCTTCTTCTCATCGGGCAACAAGTGAAACACAGATGCCTTATGGATAATAACATCACCAAGGCAAAGTATTCACAACTCAAATTTGTTTAAAAACCTTACATTTGGTACCACTCAAACCATCTTCTCCTGAGAAAGTTGTTCAGAAAATAAGAAGGGCATCAGTTGCTCAAATRATACATGGATGTCTGAGCAGCATCTCTTTTTCATACTTTCCTGAGATATCTCCCTAATATCATACCTTCAAGCCTCTTCCACAGAAAGAGAGATGAAACTTCTGTCACTTTCTTTGAATTTCAGTTCCTAGGCCCACAACTATAAGGTGCCTGGAACAAATATCATTCCTTTAAACAAAATACTAATTAACACAACTTGTATCAGTACACTCCCAGACCTAACAAGGGATAGGRAGTGGAGTCTTTCCATGCAACACAGATTACACCATTAAAACATCATTAAAAATGTACTTTTTTCTATCCACTGAGACACAAAAGGAATTGTATTCTGCAATGTAATAGTTCTTCTTCAAGTATGAGCTTCAGATCCTTTAACTRTGAATGGTGAATAGCTTAAAACAGATTTAAAGTAAAATTTAAGCAAATCACCTCATCAGAGAAAAASAGAATCCTCACATGGTTTTAGTACATGACAACACACTGTGCCAAACTGGGCTCAATCACCAATGATGGAAGGGACAATCTCTGGTGGGTGGGTGGAAATGGCTAAAAGCACACACTTCTGAGAAAAAGAACATTAATTTACCTCATCTGTGTTTCGGAAAAGGGCTATTGTGTCCTTTGACTTTCTTGGCACCATGGAGGGCTCAAAGTGCACCAGTCGACAGGGCTCTGAGTTCAGGAATGTGGTGATCCACTGWGCCACTTCATCACCACAATCCCTGCCTTGGATATCCTGACCAAACACCCTGGAGAGACACGGCACACCACCAAGTTAGCTGGAAAGATGAAGRTTCAAGAAGCTTCTTATTTGAAGGCAAACAACATGTTTTAATGGTAGTAGCAATATACAGAAAACAAATAAGCTGAACTATAATGAGGTGAAAATCTGTTTCCAAATCTGGAAAGGATCATTCCCGATGGGCAATCCCATTATGGCYACAGTGTTTGAAAGCTAAGGAACATGGACATGACCACACAATACCAGCTGGTGAAAGAATGAGCTGTGAAATAGTGTTAAGGTGCCCAGAGCTAACTGTTACATCAGTGACAGACCTACTTGTTTGCTCTGCTTTGAGGGAAAAAAGGGTCTGCTCTTGCATTTGCATGTGACTACTACATCACAAGATTTCTACCAGGAAATCAACTGAAAGGTAACTTACTTCAGAAAATGAATGATAGTTTGAAAGGATGTAATTAGTTACCAAATTTATATTTACAAATGTTATTCATTTCAAGTGTCCCTTACTGTCAGGGAAACTTTCCTTCAGATTTTCRTGCTGTAAAAATTTAGCCAGAGATGAGTGAGACTCTTAAGCTCAGACTTCAGACACARAATAACTCAGTATCTTAAGAGAGGTTAAAGATTTGTCATGCAAACAAAGTCCACAGGGCACAAAAAGCCACTGCCAGTAGAAATACAAACAAATTTACACAAGGAACATCTCCCCGGCACAAAAAGCTAAACCTTGACTCAACCTTCCAATAAATGTGAAAGTCATGAGTAGTTTTGTTACACTCTTCAAAGTGGCCATTTTGACCCAAATGCACTGCAGTTTCCTGCACCTTTGCAATCACATCCTGAACAGCTTGAAGCACAGAAATGACCGTGCAGTTCATCTAGAAAGAGCCCAGCTCCTAGGAGCTCTTCTTTACTCATCTTAGGGAGCGATTACTATGGTGCTGGCATCAACATCCCTGCTCCATTTCCTGGGATTCCTGTGTTTACCCTGTGACACAGGCTGGGATTAAATGCCACTGCCCCAGGCAGCATTCAGCTGCCTTTCTCCTCCCTCCATCCCACAGTTCCTGGATCCCTCCTGACCAGCAGGCCAACAGAGGTAAGGCTCTTACAGCTTCCTGTTTCTTTAGCAGTTTTCAAGATCAGCACATGCACAGCCATATGCAGCCAAAGACACTATGGCACTGCTTTAGCTTCAGCCTATAGGGCATGAGCTCCCATGAGCACCCATCTGAAGGCAACTTTACTAAGGCCAAGAAAGAAAAAAAYCAAACCAGAAGAACAAATCRCTGAGMTCTAAAACTGGAAAATCCAATAAATCCAAGCCAAGTTCTCATTACCAAATGTATTAGGCTTTAAGTTCTCATTACCAAATGTATTTAAATATCTTTCTGGTGGCACAACAAATCTTAGAAAAATTACGTCTTGCAAACTGCATGGTTTTGCAGTGCATGTGCCATTGGCTAGCATACAGGCATTATGCAGAGGCTTTTAAAAGCTTGTTTCATTTCTCCACAAGAAATTCAACCCTTTGGAACTTGCACCTGTCTTGTATCAACAGAGATACTGAGCTATGCTGATCAAGGGTTTCCACAGCAACAGATTTATGSTAAAAGCAAGCAAATGCAGTGTCTTGCCAGCACTCTTTTAGTTACAATTACAGCMGCTGGTGCTCTGTAACCATCTCTGCTATCCAAAGAACAAACRCTTAAGAGTATCTTTGGAGGAGCTAACACCATTTACAGTTACTAAACACTCTAACATACCAATTGACATTCTAGCAGAAAAAAGGTTTTCCACTTCCTACTGGCAGTTTTCCAGCATGAATTTCAACACATGGATAAAATAACTAGGCCTGCAATCATACAAGGAAACTCTAAGCACACAGCTAAAACACTGTTCATAACCCATCCACCCGAAACACCTTTGCAACAGCACATACAGGGAATAATGCCCTAAGCTCCTGGGATGCCCATCTTTCCCCTTTGACCACAGGTCAGCACAGGTAACCAATTTTTTAACTGAGGCACCTCCGTTAAATGCCTAAAGAGACAGGTCAGGGAATCTAAACTCCAACACCTCACCAGCTGTGAAYAGCCAGTGTGCATCCAAAAATGCTGATGCACATAAGTAGCTRTGATCAAGAAATACCAAAGTGCATGACTGAGGCTATGAGATGTGACTGCTGCCCCATGCAAAAATTAAAACACTACAAGTAAAAACAAATAAGCAAACATGACATTCTAAGAAGACAGAAGATCACAGTTCATTTGGCAGATGTGTAATGCATGGTCTTTGATACTGTGTCATCTTTTCCTGAGATTTGTTTCCACCAGTGATTAGCAAATCAAAAGCAAAGCTTTCGTTATGACAACCACTCCTGGACTCCTGTGTAACACATGGCAGAGGATTTCACAGTATTACAAAACAGTCTGGATCAGAAGCAGCCTTACAGACCACCTAGGACAACTCCCCTAACAGAAGCTGGAGCACCGTCCACTAGACCAAGGTGTTCAGAGCCCCATCCAACCTGGCCTCGAACACTTAGAGGCATGGCACATTCACATCTGCTCTGGGCAACCTGTGCCAGTGCCTCACCACCCTCACAGTGAAGAATTTCTTCCTAATAASTAATCTAAACCTACTAACACCACTWCTCCTTGTCTTGTCAGTACAGGCTCTGGTTCGAAGCCTATCTCCATTACGCAGATGGGGAGAAACACCCGCACAGAAAAGACACGGAGGTACTGAACTTTTACTCTCCAATTTCTGCATAAGAAAATGCAAAGCCTCACACAACTTAAAAAACAAACACATAAGAAAGACAGTACTGAGACAGAGAAGAGAAGCAAAAGAAAATCTTTCTTTAGTACCTGCAGTTACGGACGGGATTTTTCTTGGGGAGCTTTATAGGCACGCATATCCTGTCCATGTCCGGGGCCTCCAAGGTCAAGTGCCCATTTTCACTGCTGACAGACACGAGGACCAGCCGCGGCTCCTGGCGAGCTGTCACCATGTGCCCGTCCTCCTTCACCACGAGCCAGAACCTGCGGTGGGACAGGGCACAGAGGCGCCCAACAGCGTTAGTGCCGGGCTCGGCGCACTTGCACTGCAGGTGCTCCTTCCCAGGCCCTCGGGAGAACACCCGACAACCGCGGAGCCCCGCGGAGCCCCCACGGCCCGACCCGAGCCCCCCGGCCCGCCCGCTCCCGTCCCACCTACCTGTCCCGCAGCTCCCCGCTGCGCAGCCCCATTGCCGTCACCTGCGCCCGAGGCACCGACACCCCCCGGCACGACTTCACCGGGTACACGAAAAGCCTGAGAACCGTCCCGATCCGCTGCAGGCGGCGGCGGCGGCGGCCGGCCCAGCGCCAGGCCCCGAGMAGGACGCCCATCGCCAGCAGCGCCGCCGCTCCCCACAGCAATCCCTGCCGGGCCGGGCACCCCGCGCCCCACGGGCCGCTCATGGCGCCTGGGCCCCGCCGCTCCCGCTGCCCGCCCGGAGCCGCTGTGGGCGGAGGCGGCCCGGCCACCGCCCCTCTCTCCGCCCCGCCCCGCGCTCCAGGCCTGGCACCTGCCCCGGGATCGCTGAGGGCCGGGCGGGGCGCGGAGCCGCGGCTTCGCTGCGAGAAAAGGGGCGGTGCAGCGGGGAATAGACCCGGCCGAGCGTCCGGCCTGGCGAGGCACCGGCAGAGGATGTGTTCTTCCTGATATCCGGGCTTTTGTTGAAAGCTGCGCTACAGGAAAAGTGTGGACTATGTGGGAATACACGAGTGCGTCAAATTCATGGGTTTGGTTTGGCTCGGAGGAGAGGGGAGCAGGTGGATGGAGACGTGGAGGGCAGCAAATGGGGTGTCCAGCGGTGTTCAGCCACACTGGAATATCTGCACACTCCAGCTGCCCAGTACCAAACTCCTGACCTGTTCCAAGAGTTTCCCGTCTGTGGGCAGATTTGCAGGGAAGTCATTTTGTCAGATACGCAGCTACAAGGCAAATATAACATCAAATTCAGCTTGCAGTGGCAAATGCCACCATCTCCACAGGTCTCTCCTCACAGACAGAGCAARAGCTTTGSGATCCGATGGCCAAACTCACAAATWGAAATTTTTAGGATCAGAGTGCTGAGACCAAAGTCCCAGAAAGTGGAAGATGGTGAAGCTCAGCATTGGGCATTTCTGRGAGATTCAGAGAGCCCAGCCACAATGGATCACTGGAAGTACTCCATCACCAGCAGCCTGGTGGACAGGAACATTGATGATGTGGCTGTTGTAGGCTTCTTTGCTGACAAATGCATGTGAGCAATCAAGCCAGGAGAGTTCCTCACAGCCATCTCAATACTCACTTGATCACAGGCCAGGATTGGGAAATGTTCCAGCCAGTGGGAGTCATCATAGATATTGTAAAAAGTGCAGTGGGATTTGTGACAACCTGCTGAAGGATSAAGAYAACATGCTGGATGTGAGGAACAAARGCAGTGACAGCAGATCCRTCCCTATTGGCATGACYCCYCAAACCCTGATCTTTCTCATGGGCAAGAAGGGAGTCCACAAAAGAGTCCTCAATTAAAAGGACCAGGATAGGACTGTGAGCATGAAAACATGACAGAAATCATATCAGAGACAGGCATCTTCCTGAGCACAGAGATGGGAATTAAACCTGATTTTGTTGCAGATGACTTTGCCTGCTTTTTTGAGATGAGGGCTGCTGGACAGGCAGCAGTGGGGGACAGTGGGACAGTCCACTTCAGCAAGCGTGGTACAGAAGGGAGTAATGTGTTCATTCCTCATCAGGATGCTCAGTATTGCTTGTGTGGTTTCCCACCCATTTTCAGGAGTTGCTCCTTGTTGTTCACATTTTACTAATTTATTTTGGGATGAAGGTCTCTGATAACAGTAGCTTTGGGAAAAGGCAAGGAGGGCAATCCCTTTGCCCTCATTCTCCACTTTGCTGTTTAAACCTGCTTCCAGGTTTAATGCCCTGCTTCCAGTCATGGGTTTTGAGACCTTTCTCCCTCTACCAGTACACCATGACATGAAAGATAAACAGAATTGTGTTTATTTTGAATTTGCCCCCTGAACAAGCACAGAACAGTTTCTGGAGGTTAGCTATTGATCAGCAGAGCCKTGTGCTGCTGTTGGACTGTGTGGGGAGCATGTGCAGAGACAGCCTGTTACCTGCTACCTTCCACATCACTTGAAACCCCTTCTTATGCTTCTTTACTGAGAGAATTGGTTTTTTTTTTTTTTGGTTTTTTTTTTTGAGATAAGTTACCTTTTTGTGTCTGTGGCACAGGCACCTTCTGAAGGTTGCTTCCTTTCCATCCTTCTCAGTCACTCTGTCTGGTCTGAAGGTCACAGGTCCCTCTAAGCTCTCCAGGACCCCCAGGAGGATGTGGAGTTCTGTCAAACACTGCAGAATTCTTCCTCCGTTCACCAGTACAGCCCTCCTTCCTGCTCCTGCTTGTATCCCTAAATGTAAAATCTGAAATGGGGCAGAATGGTTGCAGTTCGAGATGGGACTTAGGCAGGGAATTTGAGGAGTATTTTAAGCAGGGCTGATCTCCTTGCTTGTGGGTTTTCCTTGCTGCACTGCTCCTGGCAGCCATGGCTGTGCCCATCAGCAAGCCTGAATCCTGTGACCACTCACCTCCACACCCCTGGGATCCCCACATTGCTCCAGGTAAATCATAGGTGTTGTAGGTGCTAAACTGCTTGGTCTGGTTTGACCAGACCTGACCCACCACCTTAAATCATTGACCTGCTGGGTCAAAAATAATTATTTATGAATGCTTTTATGACTCCACCACAGACACAGGAGGGAAGCCAACCCTGCTGAGCAGACTGAGAGCCCTTGCACACTCTTTGGTATCCATTAATCTTCTCGTTTAACATGGAGTCTATATTCTGTTGAATTTAATTGAATTCACACAGAGGTCTTTCATCTGCACCTGTACCCACAGGAGCAGAAAAATGCCATAAGGGGAACCAGGCATCTCATGTATTAGCAAGTTGTTCAAGAAAACTKCAGCAACTGTCTAATGTCTGATAAGCAGTGCTTGCAAGCATGACTCAAAACATATTAACTTAAGTGCTAAAGAGCTAAAAACAAAAATACAAACTGGTTTTAGAATCTAACAAAAAAATGTATCAAATGAAATAAATCTAAAAAAAACCCAACCAAAGTACTATTTATGCTGGCCACTCCTGACAAACATTTTTGCTTATTTTCACAAGCTTAAGGCAAAAATAAGTAACTAACTCCTGTGGTTTCTTGAGCATTGGTAGTATTCTCCACTGTGCAAACTGCAAAGTGCAGAAAGATCTTGCTCTCTGCACATTTGTCTATGAGGCATCAAAATAACAGAATTTGAGATAAGACAAAAAAATTTATTTACTGCTTGCTTGCTTCTTCTGGGTGCCAGGGAAAATAGATCTGGAGTGTATATATACTTTGGAGCATGAGAATTTGGAGAAGTAGAGACCTTTATAGTTGTGAGAAGCTACAATTCCTCCCTAGCTATGCATTATGGGCAGCAGAGTGATGTACAAAACCAAATTCTTTACTTGAACTCAGAAAGAGCTCACCTTTGCTAACAACTGGATATTAATTTAGAAGAAAAAAAATCTATATCCAAGAAGGACCTTAAACTTTCATTCCCAAGATCTACTGACCTAAGGACCCTAAGGAGATTTCATTCAGACCAGCCCTGCTGTTAYGTTCAGCCCTGACTCTTCTTGGAGGGTATGGTGAGAAGGAGCTTAAAGAAACATGAGAAGGCAGCAGCATCTGTATAATCTCTGCTCTCCTGCTGTGAAGCAAGGAACATAAAATTAGAAATAGCTGCAGAGAGCATGGTTGTGGGTAAATGTCTCAGATCTCAGTCTGCAGACTTTGAGGAAAACCTTCTTCACCCATGCACCAGGCACCTCTCAAACAGCCTCCAGTAAACAACTTGACCAGCAGGTTTGTTTAATCCTCCATCCCAAGCACTCTGGTTCTTATCTAGAAACCACCAGCTCCACTGGTTAAGCAATGTGAATAGAGCCACCAGACAAAATGTAGGCACTGCTTTTGTTACAACCAAACACAGCCTCTTGTGTGACAGAATTGTGTTGGTTGTAACCAGAGCAGGTGCAATATTCCTGCACTTAAAATCAAGTGACTGTGTTTTCAATTGCTTAGAACTTCAACAAACTTCAGGACACCTGAGCTGAAATTCTCTGCACAGGCTCTTCCCTCAGGCTCCCTTAAAACATGTCTGATCACATGAATTCACAGTCACTCTTGCAGTAAACTGAGGCCAGGCTCCCTCAGTCATGAAAGTGGATGATGCTGACATTTGTTTAGAAAGCATGGTGTTAACTCACAAGCACAGGAGAAATTTTCAGGTGAAATAAATTTTATGGAGAAAATTTATGGAGAAAATAAAGGCATATCTGCCCTCAGATGTAGCAGGCAATTTGATATAATTCCAGAGGCAAACCTAGACTCTTGTAGCGGCAGCTCAATCACAGGTCTAAGATGAAGGAGAAGGAAAGAGTTGAAGAATTTTACTTGTTTCCACTATAAAAAGACAAGCAGCTGAGAATCTTKTAGGTCTTCAATATGTACACAGTGCTGTACTTTGGAAAGGCATAAATTACCACACTRAGGGGGGAGGTTTGAATGGACATTATGAAAAAAAATTGTGACAAAGACAACAAAATGCTGGCCTCAATTAGGCGACAGTGTGTTAGGATGGAGYTAAATGTAGCCTGGGCTTGTCTCAGAGAAGGAATTAAATGCACACACCAGGGATATGGCAATTATTTTTGCAGTGACTCTGATAATTCAACAAAAAGGCAGGGATGAGGGGATAACRTGGCCAAGTATGCTGATTTCAAAAAGGTATGATAAAAATCATATACTCACACACACAGAAATTATATCCTTTTTCAGCAGTTAGAACAAACAATAAATTMAAAAAATTCCTTCACAGAGAGAAGGGGAGGATAAAAGCATTGCTGTTTCCTCTTAAGATCTTGAAGGAAATCAGAGTTCAGTGAGTCATGCACTAGAAATGAGCTCAGTGAAATTCATGTATGGAAAAATCTCAGGCAGCTAATTGGCGATGATAGAGTTATAAATAGAGTCATTAATGATAGAGGCCTTTAATGGAGCCAGAGCAAAGAAATAAGAGGCTGTTTCTTTGGTTTTTTTGGGTTTTTTTTTTTTTTCGTTTTTTTTGGTTTGTTTTTTTTGGTTGTTTTTTTCTTTTGTTCTGTTTTGTTTTTTTTTTGGTTTTTTTTTTGGTGAAGTTTTTCCTATACAGAGAATCATAAATACCTAAAACCCAGGCAGGTTGAAAGGCTACTTTGGCCACTGTCCAGACATATAAGAAGATGAATTTAAAATTATCTTTTTCTTGCAGTCAAAAGCTAAATTTCAGTCTCTCTAATTGCACCTGGACAATACAGAAATGGTTGTTCCAGGCAAATGTTTGGCCCAGTATTGACTTACACAGGCTGTTGACATTATGAATTCTCCCAATGCTCCRTAAATGCTATTCTCCATGTGAGTGYAATATCCACYGGCAGCTTTAGGAGCCTGAAGAGTCAGGGTAGAGCTGTGTGTTACCTGGGAAAGCAGGTAAAGACCAAAGGAGAGGCTTTRCAGGGGAGCAGGGCATTTGTTCTGCAGCACAAGGACTAACACTTCTGCAGCTCTGGTTTATTTGCCATCACAAGGCAGGATGGGATTCACCAATGACAGGAAAGTCCCCACCCTAATTCAGGCACAGCTGAAAAAACAATCTGATAATAGTTCAGTGTCCCAGGAAAGGAAAAAGCAAGGATTCCTTTGTGGGCAGCAGAAATGGGGGAATGCAGAAAGCATGAAGAAGCAAGTATATGTGGCATGCTGGGGTCAAAAGCACTCCTGGGGGGTTGTTATTCCAGTCTGCCAACCTCCAGCTTGGAATTATACATCCTGTCATAGGCAGCTGTCATATCTCCATATCATATCAAAAGATGATATTCAGAAACAAGAAGTGGCCATGGCTCATCCCCTCACCTCCAGTAAATCATCCTTAAGGAGTATTTTAGAGGTACAGCAAGAACTTCGGGGCAAAGTATAATGCATTTTTGGGTGTTGAAGGGGAAAAACCCCAATACAAGAACCATGTTCCTGTGACCTTATGTTTGAAACGCTTGCACACAGGGGGCTCAAGATTCCACTGTGTAGGAAACACCGTTTTATGGAGATGCACATTACACTGCTGAGATCTCACATGCTGAGAATGGATCTGGACAAACCGGGAGGCCAGCCCAGGGAAGGGCAGGAAATCCCTGCAGGAGATGAGGCAGAACAATGAGGCAGGCTGACGAGGCTGGAAATCTGTGGGTTTTTTTTCCCAGGAGATGGCAGTAAAGGACAATCGCCTTTCAGCCAGCGGAGCGCAGCGAAGTGGAAGCAGTGGTGGGAGCCGAGCTGCTCCTCAGGCAGCGCTGCCACCCTCGCCAGTCGCTCCTTGTCACCAGGAGCAAAGCTTTATTCTTAGCGTCAGTGCTTCTAGCAAGGGTGAGGAGCTCAGTCTTCTACATTTCCATACAGCAGGTAGATTACAAGCTTACCGTGGCAGGATCCCACTCACAGCYTCACCCAGACTGGAAGAAGCCCAGGTCACTCTTCCAGCCTCCTGCTCACAGCAGGGTCAATGCTGCATTCACATTTGGTTRCTTTCCACTTTGTGCTATTGTGCCTTGAGAAACTCCACGGACATCCTTCAGCCTGCTGAAGTAACCTCTTCTCATGCTGAATGATCATATTACTGCTTCCCCTGCCTTGTATCTGATTGGAAACTCCCCTGCTTTGATTTATGACTATGACCTCTCGCTGTCTGGCTGCAGACTTCAGTAAAGAGCCTGGCTCCATCGTGTTGGGAATCCCTTCTTAGGCATTGAAAAGCTGTTGTGAAGTCTCTCCTAAGTCTTCCTCCTCCAGCTGGACAAGTTCAGAGCCCTGCATCTCTCCTCCTGTGTGAGGCAGGATTCAGGAAAGTGCTTCACCCTCTCTGAGCCTAGTCTAGACTTCACCCCAAAACAAGCCTGGCAGCCTAATACTACTTCCTGCAAGGAGAAGGAAGGGAAGGATTTTATTCCTTTAYTTTCTCTTAATGTAATTATCTCCATTAATCTACATGTTCTTCAGGCTCTCTACTGTTCCTTGAAGAAAAAAGGTTTTCCAAAGTACACCCTGTACAGGTGGCTGCAGTAACTTTGGCATGTTTTAGGATCAGTTTTGTCTCAGAAGAGGCCAGTATCCAGCTAATAACCTTAACTCAGAATGAGAGAGAACTAGTTTTACTGCCCCTCGACACAAACCCTGCTCCCTTCCCAGTCTCCCAGACAGGCAGAGATTAGAAAGGACATTCATCCCTGAAGTGATCCATGGCTTGGGAGTGGCAAATATCTGGAGGTGCCAAAGTGCTGCAGCATGGTACAGCTCTCCTCAGTCACTGCACTTCCAAAGTAAGCTGTGCAAGAATGCTTCCTTGCGGCTAATGTTGCAGGACAAAGGACAATAGCTATGAGTCCTCTGCCATTTCCTCAGAGCCTACGGTAAGCCAGAGGAGTAATTAACTACTCTGGCAAAAACAGCAGAAATATGCTTTATTCTGCTCTGTGATTCAYGGAGCAGTCATTAGGAATGGCCAGGAATTTAAAGTAAAAGTGACTTTCTAGGCTGTCTGGTTAGTGAAGTTCATTCTTGAGAGAAGCATGGACAAGCTGACAACCTGCTTCTTTCAACTCTTGCATGCATTCAGCTTCCTGAACCTATTTATCCTGCCCTTTGTTATAAAGTGAAATGGGCATGGAAATCTGAAGGGAACCAGGCAGCACAGCAGCACAACATTGAAGACAAAAAGTGAAGTGGAGTGTCAAGTGAAGCAATGGGCAGAGATTCCATGCAGGGGGCTGAAGGGAAGAACATATTTCATCCAGCTCAAATGTYAAATCAAATCTTCCCCATGTACCCACCACCATATCCACCACATCCCACATTGTTTATGAGCAAGTCAAATGTCTGTTTTGTTCCTCAGAGGCACTGGGAATCCAGCTGCAGACWAGCCTACTTTAGTAAAAGACCTTGTGTGCAACTGTGGGTTGAAAGCTGTCCCTTGGGATGGCTCCTCCAAGGACAACCTTGCCAAGAAGGTGTAACACCTGGGCAGAAGCCGAGAGTCAGTCCCACACTGCCCTCCTGGCTTGGCACTGCCAGGGCTGGGAACCCTGCCTCCTCACCAATCCCAGCCTCCTCACCATCACCAACATCTCACTTTCTCCTGACTCACCTGCACATTTCCAGCACAGCAGCTCTGCTTCAGACAGAAGCTGCCCTTTCTTGCTGGCTGAACAGATGACCTGCCACACGATRCTGAGGTGGTCAGGGAATAATTTCTCATCTTTTTTGTCACCAAGACAGCATTTAGCAGCAGAGCTGCAGGACCTGCCCTGTTCCACCTRTTTGTAGCTAAGCCAGAGCTGGCCCAACAGGAGTGCTGCCATGACTGACAGGAAGTACAGCCATCTGGCATCCCCCCAGCTGGAAAATGCACCTCACCCTCCAGAATCAGATCTTCTAGACACTGCAATGTGAGCTGGGCTAATGAAGAGAGTAGCAAACCATCAGGCCAAGGCTTGGCCTCACAAGTTCCCTTCAGGAGCTGAGGAGTGAATCACTGCTCAAGGAGACCTGATAAGCAGCACTAATTGGCAGCCTCAGTGAGAACCATCAGTTCATCTCGAGGAAGGAAAATGAATCATTAGCTGGTTTATTGCAACAGCACAGGTTATTCACTTACTTTTTCTTTCTCTCTCCTTTTTCTTTGTTTTTGGTCTATTTTAGAAACATTGGCCAGCCAAACCTGACTCAGCAATATGCCTGAGGCTTTTCTTTTCTCAGGCTCATATAGAAGYACCATGTACATGTCATTCAGGTTCTGTATGGATAGCAACGAAGTTATTCCCTTAAAGTTGCCCCAGGTGAGCAGAGGCCATGTGTCAGCAGGCRAAAGTCCACTGTGCAGAGCAGTTGAGGAGCTAAAGTTCGTGTTTACCTTTGTGGAAGGTCTGAATAGGCTGGACCCTGTGTGTTGCAATGAGGGAGCAGCCTTACTAGTCAGAGGACACATGGACAAATAGATGGGACACTCACTTCACACAGACAAATGGAGACACAAATCTCTCCCTGCATGGCTTTTGTAATTTTGAAAGAAGGTCTGATGATTTATGCTGTTGTGACAAAATCTGAAGTTAATCCCAAACTCTGCAAGCTGGTGTGGCATGTGGGTGTTGGGACAGCTCTGTTCTTATTGTATTATCAACAACCAGGCATGCTGCTGGGGCAGATCAGAGGGACAGATCTGTACCCACAAAAAAATCTCAAGAGAAACAAATAGAGGCATGAAATCAATGAGCRAAATCCCTTTGTGGCTATTCCCACCCCAACTTGTGCAACCTTAGATCCTCTGCAGCCTCATCTCCACACCTTGCCTTTCCTGAGCATTTCCACATGCTCTGGGCTACAATCATGCCCTACAAGTGCACTGAGGCCACMGGCAAAACAACGTGGGGAAGTTTACACTGCAGCTTCCCCTCGCTGCCTGGGCTGCCCTGAGAAACTCCTCCTTTATGCACTCACTTACATGTGTAGGTAGAAACACAACCATGGATCTCGTGGCTTTTATTTACAGTCCAGTTAGAAAAGAGCATAACACCCCACCCCACTCCACCTCCCCCATCTGATTAATTTGCTACTTTTAAAAGAAATACGGTGTGGTTTGCCAAGACATACAAATTCCTTTGTTCAGAAAAGGCAAGGAAAGCAAGTGAACAGCATTTTTTTCCAGTTAAGCCAACTCCTTGATTACAAAAACACCATCAAAACTAGAAAAATATATAATACAGAGAAAATACTAGCAGGGAAGTAAACTACCACAAAACACTGACACAAAGAAACAAACTTACAAACAAACAAACAAAACTCCACTGAATTTTTTAAGGCCCATAAACCACCTTATTCCTGTCTCATCAATACAAGATTTATATCCCTGGAGGTGTGCCATGGAAGCTGYTCCATCCACACCAATGAACTGAGSCATCTGATATTGACACCCTCTGCTTACAGCTCCCAGTGCAGTAATGAAGATGGAGCTAGCAGGTTATTTGGCCCCAAGTCTCATACATCACACTTGTACATTCTCATACCAAGTGCTGTGTGTATATTTTTTTTTTCTCAGATGGAGCTGGTAATCAATTTTTTTCCCTGATGAATGCTACAGAATTAGGTATAAAATGCCCCAGCTTCCAGAATCAGGTATATCACATATAAACTCTACTCTCAGTAAAAAAATACATGCAGGTTTCATAATATCAGAGGGAAAGTTTAAAATGTCAAACACAATGAGCCTTTAATGCCCCAAAATCACAAATACACACCTAATTTTCTTTCTGTATTTTTACAYAATTCTTAAGATTATTTAAAGACTCATTATGTCCCGTGTTTGAAATGAACAACCACAATGCAGCAGTCTCCATATCTCAGGCCACAGCCCATTTACATCCAAGTATATTTTTAAGTACACTCATAATCTTAACCCTCTCAGGTAAAAACACCACCAAACTCAGAATCTCAGAAAACCAAAGACCATCTTTTCCTGATCCTTTGTTATCTCTTTCCTCCACTGYTTTGACAATTCCTCTCACTACCCAAACTCATCTCCACCTCCCCAGCTGCTCTCCCATCCTCTGTTTTCCTTCATTTCTCTCTCCCTCATCTACTTGCTTTTCCACCCATCCTTGGCTCCTCTCCACACAGAGCATGAAGCTCTGGAAAACCAATTTATGCCYAAAACCAAACTTCAATTAATCAAAGATAATTTTCTCATCCTTACACTTCTTTGACCCRATCTGATTTTTTAAAGCGCTGAAAGCTTTTTCAGAGAAGAGCAGTCTTGGGAAAGGGACTGATGCAGGGGYTCGGGGCTGTTGGTCCAAGAGGTTTTTCAGATCCAGGTCTCAAGTTTWATCCTGAGAAAGCAGCAATGGCCTCACGTCCTCTCCCGTGGGGCACACAGAGTTGTGCTAGCGGACAAAGGATGCCACATGTGCTGACACTCCAAAGGGAGCAGAATAGGCTGCTGCTAATCCTTGCAGGCCGACCACCAAGTAGTGACATCCCTTCTGCAGAACTTTGCCAACATTCTGGGGAGAGAGATAGGGGAAAGGGTCAAAAAAAAGGCAAAGTGATAGAAAATACCTTCACATGAAACCATTCCGACAGCCAATGTCACCRCCCCAGAAAATGAAATTCTCCCACAGCTAACGGAGGCTGCACAGTGGAAAAACATTTTACCATCTATTTTTATATAGGCATACACACCCACAGGGTATAGTTAAATTGAACGGATGCAGCCTCCACAGGAAGCCAGGCTTTTACATGTGATTCTATTCAAGAATAAAATTAGTTTAAATTCACCCAAGTTTGTAGAAGTACATGTTTCCCACATTACATGTTCTAACTATGTTAGTAACTCCTAAAAGCTCATAAGGTGTTAAAACTGCAGCTGAACAAGGGAGTAATCCTTTTATGGAAACTTCATTGGTTTTTGTCAAAATAAGATTTTTTTTTTTTGGTCTAAATATGAAAGTTTTGATCCACTTCTGTACACATTTAGGAACTCATCTGTGTACTGCACTAGAGATAACTTGCCACAGATTATTTAAYGGAAAACCTTAATCTAATTATAATTTCACTTTTGATCGTGTTTGCTCATGTGGCTGCTCACGATTGGGGAATTAATACAATGTGGTAAATTTTGGAGGAATATCAGACTTAATTGTTAATAATCTTCATGGTTGTGTGGGACTAGATTAAAATGACCTCTTATAACATGGAAAACACTGAATCTGACCAAATATTTTTAAATCAGTAAAATCCAGTCAATATATTCTTATGATTTYTTACAGCTGGGTTAAAGATGTGCTGGCACATAAAAATCTTCAGCTGTCATGATGCTACTTCATTGTTGAACTTTGCTGGTTTTACTCCTGTGGAAACTGACTTGAAGGGAGTTAAGATTCAAAATAAAAGCAGCCTGAGCCTGGAGGCAGATCCTGAGGCTGAAGAAGGATATGCAGGGCCTTCCCTTCCCAGATCTGACCCTGCCTCACTGTGTCCCAAWGGAGTCTTCTTTCCCCCTTCCTGCCTTAACTTACCTACCCAGACCTCACCTGTGCTTTCATGATTTTTTCTTTATGCCAGAGCCAAAGTGGCAAACCTTCCCTGTGGGAATGCCATGTGACCAACACAAGAGGGAATAMGCAGTGCCCAAGAACTGACCCGTGCTTTCAACATTGTTAAAAACACCCTTATACAAACAGCACCCAACAGCAAAGCGATGACCTGCTGCGACACAACCATGCTYACAAAACTGCAGCGTACAGGTCAGGCTTGAGACAGCTTCCTACTGTGTGGGACTGAAAAAAACACATTGCTGGAAAGTCACAAAGTATCAAATCAGCACAAAAGAATGAAATATTCTGTTCATTTATTTATGAAACAGCAGGATTTGGGAGGCAGTTCCTGACTATGCTGACATCTGTAAACTCAATTTCAAATGTAACTTTGCCAAGTTAATGGCATTTTYTGCATGTCAGACATAGCAAGCATATCTTTACCAAAATCATGGGGTTTTGACAAAATGCAGTAGAAAGTCATGTCTCATACTGACATCCATAATCTCAGCAGCAGGAAAGGATTCCTGACAACAGAGACAGGTCTTTCACAGAAACTACTTCTGGCTACGAATATCCAAGACATACCTGAGATGTACTTAAGTGACGTGAACAAGAGAAAAACAATCAAATTCTTCCCCATATCACTTTTGTAACCAAAGACACCCGTCTTCCGGTGGGAAAAACACCAAACCACCACAGTAGGACTTGTGACTTCCCACACAGGAAAGCAAAAGAACAATTTTGATCCAAAATAGTTGCTACAGAGAACAAGCTGCATTTTTTTCCCCTGTAACTCACAGCAGTGATTTCTAGGAGACACCTTGGCCAAGGAATGTCCTGAAGGCCTGTTTACCCTTTCGTTCGGGCACTTCATTAGAAGGGAAAAAAAATGTAGGCCAATTAACTGGAAGTTTAAAGGAATAGTTTTAAAACAATGAACTGCCGAGGGAAAAGCAGAACCAAGCAAGGCAAAGCACCCGTCACATGGATCAGCTTAGTGTCGTTTTCACTTCGAAGAGAAAGRTTTTGTGCTCTTTGATCCAGGCGAGGGTCGGTGTCCTGCCCTTCCCAGCAGCACCGGCTCCTTCGCGGGCAGGTCCAGAGCAAGCCCTGACCCCCACAGGGCAGCCGGACGCTGGCTCTGAAATGCCTGCGGAATAAAGGGCATTCCGAGAGCCCCTCGGAACTGTCGGAGCCGAGGCCCCGCTGCCCTCCCGGCACCGCAGYCCCCGTGCCGAGGGTCCCCGCTCCGGCCTCCCCCGGCGCGCTGTGCCCTCACCTTCCCGTACTTCTTGAGGCGCTTTCCGTAGGGCCGCTTGCCGGAGCCCCGCGGCGGGCGCAGCGGCTCGTAGGAGCCGGGCAGGGCGGCGAAGCGCACCTTCTTGGCCCCGGTGCCCTCCTCCTCCTCCTCCTCCTCCTCCGGCAGCGCCGCCGGCAACGGTGCTCCCGCGCTGCCCTGGGCCCCCACAGCCGCCTCCTCCTCCTCCTCGCCGGGCAGGATGGAGACCTGGTCGTCGCCGGCCCCGCGGCGGGAGAACCTGCCYCTCACCTTGGCGCCCAGCCGCGCACCCACCGTCATGGTGCCGCCGGGCGCCGACCCGTCTGCGCCGACCTCGGGCGCTTCCTCCGCCGCTGCGCCACAGGTGTGGCCGGAGGCGGCCGCTGCCCCCTCCCCGGGGCGGGACGGCTGCGGAAAGAGGCGCCCCGACCCCGGCCAGGCGGCGTCCCCAGCTCCGGACTCCGGTCCCGCCGCCGCTCTGCGGCGGGAAGCTGGGTCGCGTCTTGCCGGGAAAGCGGGGAGATGCTGCGGGGAGCCCGGGACTGGAGCCCGTCAGCTCAGCAGGGACAGGTGAGCGCTCGACGGGGCGGCACAGCCCCGCACCGCCCTCGGGCTGCTTCGGCCTCGGCGCGGCGAGAGCCGCGACACCTTTGGAAACTCCTTCGGTGGCACCGCACGCACTGCCCCGGCCCACGGCGGCACCGCTCCAGGAGGTCACGCCCTTTCCCGTCAGAGAAAAAAGCCAAGCTCCTTGGACATCCCTCCATTATAGGTGTTGCTACTAAAGCTGTGCGTGAACAGCCTCTTCTGCGTTCGGCTATCCCTGGCCAAGGGGAAGGTACCGAAGAAGTTTCTCAGCGGCTTTTGCCCAGGTGCTGGGGGAGGCTGTGACAGCCCCACCTCTGTGGCTGGGATGCTGCGGTGTAACAGCTGCCTCTCCCAAGCGGTGCTCCTCACCTCGGGTACGTCAAAAACCGCAAAATTGTATAGGGAGGATAGATACAACTTATTTAACCCGCTGGTGTATTTATCAATATTTGATATGCATATGAATGCTTTGGACAAGCAGATGCAACAGAGGGACAGAGTAATCCTTTACCTTGGATTTTTCTTACCGAGGAACAAAGCCTTCAACCTGTGCCCATCTGAGATGTGTGCATGACATTTGGGAAGTAAATTCTACACTTAGCACTGTTATCTGCCTCAAGAACAGTGATTTAATATTTTCAYAGCTCCAGTCGGAAAGCTGTGTAAAGAACAGTGGGACCATGTCCCTGAACGGTAGAAGGTGTGGGCCAAGTCTCCAGACTGTCACTACAGAAGCACTCTATCCCATCCCCTATTTTGTATATAAGGTGTTATTGGTCCTGCTACCATTGTCAAGTTTTAATTCTCCAGAAGGCTGAGGTACTGACCTAAACCCAGCACAGGATTGTTGCTCACCAAATGCCAGTCCCAAAGGGACGCCTACCACACATCATGTGTGCTCCTCGGAGCTCCTCCTTCCCCTGGGCTGTGGCAGCATCTGCACGGCCCGTTTCTGAGACACTTCMCCCACCTCCGGGGCCAGATGTTGAGCTTGCCTGCATCCTGGAGGTGCAGGTGTGTCCTGAACACTGCAGACACTGAAACAGAGTAGCACCACAGGTCCACMATTACTGCATGGTGGGGAACCTGAAGCAGCAAAGCACAGGACAGGTGAAGTTTACATTGCTGTAGCTTTTCATGTGCTACTTTCTTAGTTTGAGGGAGGAGGTGATTGTTTGATGCTGATTAAGCAGCAGCATCAAGAAATAAAATGTCAATAATCTGTTCATCAGCTGCTAAATCGCTTCGGGTTAATAAGAKAATTTTTCTGGGGCTTTGAAAAGTGTTTATTTTTTCTATATAGATCCATTAGGGCATATATACTTGCCCCTAAATGAGAAGCTGAGGTAGATAATCTTTCACTATCTTCTCAAGAGGGGCAAGACTTTCTCCACAGACTGGGTTAGGTTTGCACCCCACAAGTTTGCTCCCTTTTCCAGAATTCAGCTATCAAAATCTCACAGAATAGACGTCTCAGCGGAGATTTACTGTCTTCATTTCCAAGGCGGCAGGCGAGTCACATGTTCTGGGTATGYTTGAGGTACCTTGAGATGTATGACACCAGGTACCAAAATCTCATGTCCTAACAGTTCATGGAATTCTAGCATCATCATGACCATATGGCATTTATGACCCCACTTGGTTCTCCAGCAGTGTGTTCAGTCAGTGGACCCAGAATGACTGTTTATTGTATTTTCACTGATTTATATACACTTTAAAGTTTTAAACTGGACTGTATGAAAAGGGGATGCACTGAGTTTGGAAATGTCTGTATACATCAAAGAGAGAAATAATGCAAAAACCCCGCCCCAACCCACACCAGCTGAACCATGCAGTAACCTCACTGCTCACCCTYCACCATCCCAAACATCCCCAAGAGATGCTGCCAACAAATTACAATTGAACTCACGAGGCCTCTGAAGATTTGAAGCACCCCTATCCTTGMCTGGAGCTGGGAAATACAGTGTGGCATTTAAAACTCTTATTTCTAAAGTTGAAGCTGTGCTGATAAAATGCCACACCAAAACACTCCCACCTGGAAGGTGGGAGCATTTGGATCTGAAATGCAGCTTCTGCCACTCTTACCAAAGGAGTAACTTATGCATCAGGTCCAGCACAAGGTAGCTGTTGAGGGAGCCCAGAAACAGGCACTGAGGATTTGGTAAGCACCATCTCACTGATCCCACACTAAGATGACTCTKCTTGCCAATAAAACCAGATTTTTTTCAAAACTGCTTTCTCCAATCTTCCCAACTTATTCCTRCTGGGGCAGCAGGATGTTTGGAAAGCCAAATGCTGCACTTGTGTGCATCTACACCCTTCACACTCAACCTGTGTCCTTGCTGAAGCTCCTGGTGTATTTGCTATGGAGAGCATTAGTTGGGGCACAGCTCATCTTCCAGCAARGCAAAAGGAGGAGGGCAGCAGGGTTTAGGAATCAGTGTGATTTCACACTGCTGGCAGTCACTGGAAAGCCATTTGCAAACTGCCCCTATATATATAAACATTAAATTGGCAGTGCCATGTTTCATGGGAGAGTTGAACTAAAATGTGTCAGCTCTGCCCTCTGGAAAAGCTATCTGTGTTTTATAAAACATGACTGTATCTCCAGTTATACGGAGCAGTGAAAGCCAGCAACAATCTAGGGCAAAGTTAGCYATGGAAAAACAGCGGCTGTAAAGCGGGAAGCTTTGCTAAGCACTTAATCTACTGTCTCACAGCATGACCTATATTTTTTCCAGTGAACCTTTCAAAAAGGCAAAGGGTTTTGTTTCATGACCAAGTTCATAAATGACCTTGGATTAGCATTATAGTTAGATTCCAGTTGTGTATTTTAAAGAATAATCGAGCATTTATGGACATTTACGGTTAAATTGAGCAGACATACAACTGCCTCCTCCCCAGAGGAGGCTGATTTTTGGTGAATTCCTGTAAAAGCTCCTGGACATCCATTTCTAAGCAATGCTAAATCCCTGCTAGTTTCTGAAAAGTACAGGACCACTGAACCCATGCAATGCTAATTCTGAATTCATCCAATGTCGAAGATGGAGCCTGTGCACCTTAAAACTGTTTTGCTACCTACAGTAATGACTGTGCTTTTATAAAGGGCAAACAACAAGTATTTTAGTATGAGAACTGTTCAAGTAAGTTTTAATAGAGTGCACCAGTGAATCAAGATGACTTGCATCAGATTTTGTTTCAATGAACATCAGATAAAAAAAAAAGAAAAGGGGCTACAGTTCTTTCTTTCCAAACACCACCCTTTTTCTAAGGCAACAATACACGTCCATTTCCGAACATAACTGTTACATAGGAAAGCTACATCACAGTACAGTATGTAAAGTCCATCTCGGTCAAGAAGCCATTAGAGAATGGCACATTTACTACACTTACAGCTTTCTAACTTAGGGTTACAGAGTTTACCACAGCTTTTTTTTTAGTTTTTATTTTTTAAAGTGACAATTTCTTAATGAACTTTCTATTCTTCACAAGAGTGTGCAGATGGGGCCCATATGTTGATATTACAGTAATTACGACATTAAATAACATTGCACAACCAACCTCTATGGTTAATTCAGTACAAAAGAACAAGTATTAAAATGTACCAGTACTAGTGGTTTTACACAGTTTATAATCATTAATTATGAAGGAAAAAAAATGTGGGGCTGGTTTTTTTTTCTTTTCTGTAGGCAAGTGCCTAATTACAAAGCTGCACATTACAGGCATAATGATGTGGAATAAATACGAGAAATCTGGTAAAATATTAAACACAAACAGGTTACATGGGAACAAACTGTACAACCACGAAAGCATAAATCAACAGGTCATCATTATAAACAATGTATGTTTAGCTGTAAAATATTATGTGGAATTGCATGTACTCTTTGGGGGCACATGTTCCAAAAGCCGAGCTGATTCCTGAGGTGGTATTATTAACTTATACAATTGGTCAACACTTCAGATTATCTTGTGCTATTAAACAGTTCCAATGTTAATATATTTCCATAAAATGGAATTTGTAGTATTCTGAAGGCAGCAAATAAGTGATATTTTACACCAATGTATTCAAATGAATCAATTCCGGTTCTTTGTTTTGGTGCTACATTTGTTAATGGGCCATGGGAATACGCACTGGAATTTGCAGACAGAAATCACTTATGCCTGGTTTCTGTTCCCCCACAGCTCTGAGCTGGCCAAAGGCAGAACAAAGTTTCTAAACTGTAAGTGCCAACACTGTAAACATGTTTGTCTCTTTTTTTTCAACTAAACACTGTCCAATAACAAGGATAAGAGCCAAAGATTAGCAGGAACAGTCTCATGTAGAACCAAAGCCAATTACTCATTGACTTTTGGTTCAACTTATGAACGATTTTTAAATAATTAAAAATGGTCATGCTACAGTTGTGAAAACTAGTTTTGTGCATTTGACTCAGGACACAAGTTTTTTAAAAAACGCATGGTAGAGGTAAGACTTATAAAACCCACCAAAAATGTAAATGATAGGGAAGAACTTTTCCAACTCAAAGCATCGAACATACATTTCTGTGCAGAAATCTAGACAACTATACAAGATCTGAATTTAAGCAGTCATCTTTTTATTATACAACTCTATGAACATAGAATGAACAGAATGCTCTATATACTTACCTGTACATGTGAACATAACTTCTTTAGCTACAGTTATTTAATATAGGTCATACTGGATTTAACTTTACAATTCTGAATAACTATGTATAACCTTATTGCAATAAGGGTAATTTCTACATGGGGAGTTTCACAGGCCAATCACATTAGGCGAAACCAGTACATTCAAAGTGTAGATCATGTATGAATCTTCCCTGATCCCAA